CATTTGAAAATAATGTCGCTAATCTACCATTTCGTATTGTTATCGGTTGACGCTATGGCCTTTGCTATCATATATAACTGTTATTGGTTCACTATTTCAAAATGTATTTCATTTAAATTTCACTGCTCTAAATATGACTAATCAAGGTGTACACGCTCCTTTCTCCCCTCCAGATTCTTAACAGCTCCCAGGCCTTTATGCGACAATCCACTCCATCGTCCAGGGAGTTCTCCCGGCCCCTTCGAGATTCTTGCCTCTTTAGTACCCCTATTCTAGCCGCATCCAGAGATTTCCATTTCTCTACTGCCACACCCAGTCAGGCCATTCCGTCTAATCAGGCTCAACTGAAAAACATTGACTTTGGAGGGCAACCGATGCTTACTTCTCCTGTTTGCCAGCTTGTTAAAGAACCGGAAATCTGTTTAATTATATCAGACGAGGACTCCAATGAAGAAGAGAAAATCATGATTAACAAAGGAAATAAAAACAAATGCTCTTCTTCCTATCTGCCAGGAGAGGCGCTTGGTTCTTGTAAACAGCAGAACGCTTTTCGTAAAGTCTTGGAGTCTTGCTTATCGCCAGCGTTAGCTGAATCCAACATAACCACTGGAGACAAGAATAACCAGGACGTGGGATACCTACCCACTTGTGCTGAGTCGTCCTCATATTTCTCCCTCTTATCCAACGATGGCAATGACGATGATTATAACAGCCAAAATAAAAGGCTTTATTCACCTGACCTCTCTTCTAGGCAAGGCTCTCAATCCTGTCTTCCTGACGTCTTTTTTATCTTGATGATAGAGGACAGTGTCGTTGACGCGCCAGATAATAGCGCTTAATTATTTATGATTTTATGTGATTTCACATATTCTTTTTCTTTATTGTTTTTTTGCTTGTATATAGGTCATGATATTTCCCAGAAAACTTTCCTACTCATTTTTCGTCTTGGCTGCTTAATTGGGCACATCGTGATGTAGGAAAGCGAAAAGGTTAGGCCGATTAAATATGCA